CTTGGTTGGGTCTGAGCGGCTGTGGGACTGGAGGGTGACAAAGATTTGTCCTGACTGTGGGCAAAGCAGGAAAACTCTAGCTACAATACATAGGCAAGTAAGTACTCAATACTCAAGTGCACAAATAAACAACATGTACAGAAAGCATCCAAGGTTCTTCTGAGGGAAAATGATGGCTTGGAGCAATGTTTGTACACTCCATTGCTGTGCCATATGCTTGAATTCATGAGCATATTCCGGCTCGGACTCCCTGAGATTAGCACTTGGGTTTTCAACTCAAAGAACCTAGCATGGTGCTTAGGACTAGGGTGTGTTTAATACCTCTGGCAATCTGTTCAATTGGTTTGTGAAGGTTTCTTCACACACAATACCGGGCACCATCTCAGCACCGTGTTCTCACATTTATTCAATGCCACAGCAATGTCAGCATCAAGTGTTAGTGTGATTGGGCAAGGGATCAGCTAGGACAATACTGACTGTCAACTGTAAAAGACCCCAACTCAAATGAAGTCATCAATAGGGCTGTTTATAGAGTAAATAAAAAGAAATTTATAGGGAGGGTATTTAGAAGCTGGATTTTTCAGCTACTCAGTCCTATCATGATATATATATATATATATATATATATATATATATATATATATATATATATCATTATATATATTATATATATATGTATATATATACATATATATATACATTCATACATACATACATACACACATACATACATAACTACATACATGCATGCATACATACATACATACATACATATGCCAGCTCTTCACAGCTTCTAACTGCTGCCTCAATTTTGCTCCTATTAAGGTCACAAGAAGGCTGCCTTTGTTTAAGCCACAATGACTTGTAGCAAAACAATATAGTCTGTGTCATGAAAGAAATGAGCTCTTTCTTATGAACCTCGCAGAAGACCTCTCTCCGTAGTTAGTGTCTTGCCAGAAGTAAGGACACATATCCACTCAGAACCAGTCGACGGCAAGACAGCGGGAAGTGTGCTTGTGAGGCGAAACACAGGACTGTAGGTAAGAGTGTGCCTCCTGATCCACAGTGGGGTTCTGTTAGAAAGAAACAAAGGGGTGAAAACTGAAAAACTAACAAAAGTACCAGTTGTGAACATCAAGTCACTAAAGGCAAACTCTATGTATATATACAGTGAGTGTATACATCCTCCCCTTTTTCCTTTGCATCTTTGTGTGAGTTCCCTTCTCTGAAATCACTGTGGCTTCCCTTGAAAGCTGTTGGGAAACTGAAAATTGCTTCCTGCTTTACATCGTAGTATTTATGCTGAAACGGAACCGCAGGCAATCATACACACTAGCGCATGACTCTGGCTTGCCCATCCAATTCTCACCATCGTTTTTAGAAATAAAGAATCTTTGTGAGGTGCCAGCTCGTAGAGTCTCCACCCTGTGTCGGGATTTGTTTCTCTGCCTTCCAAGTCGACAACGATGGCTTACGGCTCAGATGAAACACTTGAAATTGGGGCTGTTTAATGGAAACAGACATTTCCCCTTCCAGATAGAGTCAAGATGTTTATCCCACAACTGAAATTCAATTTCTTTCTCTCTCTTTTTTTTCCCCCAATTTCCAAAGAGACTGCAAGATAGAATGTGTGAGCTGAAGAAATTGCCCTGGAGCATTTTGCAGGGGCTAGGGGGTGGGGCATATTAAGAAAAAGTCGAAGAAGATCAATAGATCAATTCTTTTATTTTTGAATATTTGAAACTATGGGTCTTTTAGTTTAGTGATAAATCAAGACTTAAGCTACCCTCAAATCGGAACTCCTGCTTGCATTTTGGAATAGGCTCTATACTTTCCAAATCACTTTTAGATTATTTATACTTGATTCTCCAAGTTGATTCTCCTCTGTAAGGGAGGCAGAACAAGGCATGTTTCCCTTATCAACGCGGGAACCATATTTCAGATGTTAACTGATTTGCCCCGAGACACAAAATAATCCTAGTGGCGAAGTGTCTTGGTAGTGAGATATCCTAATTTTTAAACTTTGTTTTTCCGAATTACAAGTAGCTACCTGATAACATGTCTCTCCGTTCTTTTAGTTAACTGAGGGCTCACTTGGTGCCAGGGGCTAGGAAAGGCACCAAGCAGCCGTCCCACTGCAGGTCTGGGTATTTGGAAATAGACACTGGACAAAGAGAGGATCCTGTGTGGAGGGAAAGATCATCTGTGCAGGATGGGCTGACCCATGTGAAGCTTAGTGGTGCATTTTCATTGAGTTGAGACTGAGGAAGATGAACGCAGAGTTCCAAGGACCTTCAGAGCTGGGTACTTTCCTGGCACATCCCGTGAGCCCACAGACCTCCAGACCTATGTGTTGGGTACATTCAGAGGAGTGTTTTCTTCCTTCTTTGGTCTAATCATTCATTCCCTGGCCACTTTCACATGGCCAAGGTCCAGCCAAACTCCATTCTCCTCAGTGGCATCAGCCCCACGGAGTCTTAACCTCTAAGAGTTCTTCCTTACTCACCCCAAGCTATGAGTTTCCACAGTCTCCAGTTTGTAGTGAGTGGTTTTTCTGCTTTCATTACCTCCCCAGGAGAGCACAGCTGGAGGATATATTCAAATGACTGTCCCCTGGAAGGCCACAGGCTATCCATCCTGGCAGCAGACACTTCCTACTCCTCAAGCAAGTACCCCATCTGCTTGCCTGCCTTCCTGAAACCACCCTGGATACAGCTCCCGTTTTTTCATTCTGGGCTGGAATGGGCTGGTAGCAGAAAACCAGATGTTAGTCTTAAGTGTATTCTCGTCTCCCTCTCGGCCTTTCCTCTCCACTTTTACTTAGAAAACATCACACCCTGAGCCAGGTCTGCTCTTTGTAGACAATTTTGGTAGATTTCTATCATTATTGCTACCACTTTTCATCTTGACTAGCAATTGTCTTCTGAACATCTGGAGAAACATGGAGAGCCTGGTACATGTCCACCTCAGAGAAGTGTCCGAGAGAAAGTGATTTCAGGATGGGCCAGCACTCTGGGTGCTCCCTCAGTGGACTGCTCAGGAGATGGTCCAAGGCCAAGTGCGTTCAAGCCCACAGACCAGATTTTGTGCAGAATAGCTCACTGATGGAGACTGAATGAACCCTGAAGTTCATCAGGCAGATCATACAAGTCCAAGTTCAAGTAAAAATACAAAAGGGCTGGAGAGATAACTCAATAAGTTAAATAATAAGTAAAACACTTGCTCCCAAAAAAACGAGAACCTGAGTTCAATTCCTAGCTTGAACATTAAAAAAAAAAAAAAAAAAAGACAGAGTGGCTGAATGATGTGCTTGGAATCCCAGGCCTGGGAAGGCAGAGACAAGTCAATCTCTGGGGCTCTCTGTTCAGTCACCTTGCTTAACCTTCTTGGTAAGTCTCAGGCCAATAAGAGACCCTGCTTTTAAAATGATGAAGGGAGGTATTTGAGAAATAGCACCTGAGGTTATTCACACACACACACACACACACACACACACACACACACACACACACACACAATGGTATCAAAGG